TATTAATAACAGTTATGAGATCATATAATTGTGAATGTATATATGAAATTGATAAAATTAAAATAATTAAAAAAAAATATGTTTTAGACTCCAGTCCCCTAATCATCTTTGTTGCTCTTCTCTGCACTCTTTCTAGAGTCTCCACATCTTTTCTACATCGTGGCGACCAAAACTGGATGCCGTATCCCAAGTGTGGCCTTACCGAGGCATTATAAAGTGGCATCAACCCTTCACGTGATCTTGATTCCATCCCTCTGTTGATACAGCCTAGAACTGTGCTGGCTTTTTGGGCAGCTGCTGCCCACGGCTGACTCCTATTTCAATGGTTGTCCACTAGGACTCCAAGATCCCTCTCACAGTTGCTACTGTTGAGCCAGGTACCACCTATGCAAGAAGCAGATATGCTAACAGAACTTGTCTGATTCTGCAATTAAAACCAACCTTAACGGAGCCGGGCCATTGTTAGCTGCCTGAGCAAAAGGCCACTTTTAATTCCACAAGCTTTGAGGCTTGTGTCTAATCTTGCATGGATTTCCTAGAAGATCCATGCCTGCATTTGTAGGGAAACAAGTACAGAGAGTCCTTGATTTACACCCACAACTGCGCCCAAAATTTCCCGTTGCTAAGCAAGGCATTTCGTGACATTTTCTTGCCCCATTTCTTCAGTGGAATCGCCGCAGTGGTTAAGCTCATCACCCGGTCATTAAGTGAATCCAGATTCCCTTTTGATTTTGCTCATCAGAAGGTCGCAAGAAGGGGGAATCACGTGACCCTGACACACTGACCGTCATAAATACGAACCCTTTGCCAAGCAGCTGAATTTTGATCGCATGACCATGGAGATGCTGCAGAGGTCGTAACAATGAAAAACGGTCATACGTCACTTTTTCCAGTGACCCTGGGGACGCTGCAACTGTTGTAAATATGAGTCAGTTGCTGAGCGTCTGAATTTTGATCGTGTGACGGTGGGAAATGCTACAACGCTCCCATGAAACATTTCTTTTCACTTTTTTTTCACATTCGCTTTTTTTTGTTCCATTGTAACTCTGAATGGTCGCTAAATGAACTACCTGTGACCTTTTGAAGCCCTGAGATCTCATAAAATGGTGGAAAAGAACCACCAAAAAGGTTTTTTTTTCTGTGTTAAAGTTGGGTTTTACGTTTTGCAGGGAAAGGGGAAACAGAAACCTGGGGGGGGGGGGGGGGGCCCGGGGGGGGGGGGGTCTGTCCCAGATCAGAGATAAAGACAATTAAGGCAGAAGATGGTTAAGCCAGCAATTAGTAGTCCAGAGGTGCTATTTAGAGGTGAAAATTGTTTCAAGG